AGGGAGCTCCGATAATTTTTCAAAGGAGAGAGAAGGATGATATGCTAAAGGCAAATGAAAGGGGAAGACTGAAAAAATGATAAAATTTGTGTTTTTTATAGTCAACAAAGAAGGCTACCAAGTGTCAGATAAACAGTAAATATTCAATAAAATAAGTGATAGACGTTGGATTCAAGGGTGAAAGCAATTAGCAAGACCATTGAACCCTCAAGTTGGAGATGGTAAAATAGAATGGTGTAGGATAAACAAGGATAAAATGAGAATACAAAATACTTCACAAATGAATAGTAACTTGCACATTCCCTCTTTTAATAGTACAGGGATAATAATTATTTTTTAAGAATTTTTCATTATTTTATCAAATTATCACGCCGATAGGGAAATTTGCATTTTTTTGGGTTCTAAATCTTTGTTAAATACAACCCCCCCCCCCAAAAAAAAATGCATACCATTCTTTCTAAAAACAGAAGTGACCGAGCGAGAGAGAGACACATGGATTTCAGCTTCTTCTCGCTAAAGATTGGAGGCCCATTTGTGGTCCGATTAAATTGAAATTTCAGTATGTTGATCTTAGCGACGAGAGCTACATTTTGACTAGAGTTGATCGTCTAGATTTCTCTCCATTTCTCTGGGCATTACATCACTGGCGACATGGTGAAAGATAGTGTGTTCAATGAAGAGGCCAGAAGAAAAGAGCAAGGTACTTCTAATTTTGAAGCAAAGAGACGGGGGAAAAGCCAAAGTAAAAAACCGCTTGGTGATGACAGTCGTGACAAGTCTAGAGAAAGATCGAAGTCAAGAAAAATGATAAAATGTTATTATTGTGGCAAGTTAGGGCATCTTAAAAAGGAGTGCAGAAAATAGAAACGAAAAAAATGGAAAGGTGAAGAACAGAAAGAACAAAAGGAGACTTTAGCAGTTGCATATGATGCTGAGGTATTTATTGCTTATGATGAAGCATTTGCTAGCCTTACATGCCAGGATTCTACAGCATATGAATAGTTGATACAACAACTTCTGCTCTAATTACTCCACGTAGGATTTCTTTTCATCCTATACCAATGGTAATTTTAGTTGGATTAAGATGGAAAATGAAGCTAAAACAAAAATCGTTGGCATCGAGAATGTACAATTGAAAACTATTATTGGTAGCAAGTTACTTCTTAGGGGTGTCAAATATGTTTCTGATATGCGCTGTAGTTTGATTTCCGTTGGAAAGCTTGATGAAGAAGGCTATCATAATCACCTCGAAGATGGTAGTTGGAAAATTATAAAGGGTTCTCTTGTTTTAGCTAGAGGAAAGAAGACTAATGGTCTCTATAGAACAAAAGCAAATTAATCCCTGGAGATGGGAATATTGCTGAAAATGAAGCTTCCACTGAGTTATGACATAAACGACTTGGCTATATGAGTAAAAAAGGACTCAAATTCTTGCCAGAAAGAATCTCCTAGACAATGTAAAACGACATCACGAATCCCTTGTATTCACTGTTTAGTTGGAAAGCAAAGCAAAGTTGCATTTCGTAGATTCCCTGCATCTAGAAAAATTCATATTCTTGATTTAGTTCACACTAATGTTTGCACAATGCAAAGTAAATCTCTATGTGGTACATTGTATTATGTTACATTTATTGATGATCACTCTAGAAAAGTGTTTGCATATCCGTTGAAATCTAAAGATCAGGTGCTGGAAGTACTTAAAGACTTTCATTTGAAAGTTGAAAGAGAAATTGGAGAGGAGTTAAAATGTGTCAGAGCAGATAATGGTGGTGAGTACTGTGGGCTATTTGAAGAGTACTGCAGAAAATATGACATCAAGCTTGAGAAAACTGTTCCGAAGACTCCACAACAAAACGGAGTGGCAGAAAGAATGAATAGGATTATTTGTGAGAAAATCAGATGTATGCTCTCTCATGCAAAATTGCCTAAGCACTTTTAGACCGAGGCAATGAAGATAACAGTTGACTTGATTAATCTTTCTCCATCGATTCCTTTAAATGGTGATGTTCCAAAGAGTGCTTGGACAGAAAAAGATATATCTCTTAATCACTTAGGAGTTTTTGGCTTCGGGTATTTGTTCATATTCCTAAAGATGAAATATCCAAGCCTGATAGCAAAGCAAAACAGTGTATCTTCTTGGGTTATGCACATAAAGAATTTGAATACAGACTGTGGGATCCAGTGAATAAAAAGATCATAAGGATCAGAGATGTTGTCTTCTTTGAAGATGAAACCATTGAAGACTTGAATCAAACTAAGAAGCCAAATTCAGTCAATGAAGAACAAATCAGTTCAGTCCCTTATGTACCAAACCCTGTGATATATGATGAACATAGAGAAAATGTGGCAGAAGAACATGATAGACATGATGAAGCCACTACATAGAGTGACGCAGAACCAGATCAAAATCAAGAGGAAACTCCTTCTGAGGTGCCAGTTGAAGTAGAGTTGAGAAGATCAACTAGAGAGCATCAGCCTTCCAAAAGGTATTTTAGTAATGAGTACGTGTTACGTTTTGATGGGAGAGGGCCAGATCGTTATCAGGACAGAAAATGAAGTGGTTAAAAGCTATGCAAGAAGAGATGAAATTCGTGCATAAGAACCATACTTATGATCTGGTGGAGCTGCCTAAGGGCAAGAGCGCACTAAAGAACAAATGGGTGTTCAGACTAAAGGTTGAACCAAAAAGCTTGCAGCCAAGGTACAAGGCAAGGTTGGTTGTGAAGGGGTTTGGTCAGAAGAAAGGTATTGATTTTGAAAAAATCCTCTCACTTGTGGTTAAAATGTCTTCAATTCGAGTTATATTAGGCTTGGCAGCCAGTATGAATTTGGAGATTGAACAACTTGATGTGAAGACTGCTTTCCTCCTTGGTGATCTTGAGGAAGAAATATATATGAAGCAACCAGAAGGATTTATAGCTAAATGCAAAGAAAATCTTGTATGTCGGTTGAAGAAAAGCTTATATGATCTCAAGCATGCACCAAGACAATGGTACAAGAAATTTGATTTCTTCATGGTTGAGCATGGATATACCAAAACAATTTCTAATCATTGTGTGTTCATAAAGAAAATCTCTGATGGGAAATTTATTATTCTTTTGCTCTATGTGGATGACATGTTCATTGTTGGTCATGAAGCTGAAAAAATTAGGAAGCTGAAAAAGTGAATTGAGCCAGTCCTTTGAGATGAATGACTTGAGACCTGCAAATCAAATTCTCGGTATGAAAATCTCTCGTAACAGAAAGAATGGAAAATTATGGCTATCATAGGAAGGTTATATTAAGAAGATATTACACAGGTTCAATATGGACAAGGCAACACCATTAAGGTCTCCGCTTGCAAGTCATTTGAAGTTGAGTTCAAAGCAAAGCCCTTCAAGTGTGAAAGAAAAGGAATGAATGAAGAATGTTCCTCATGCATCAGTTGTGGGTAGCTTGATGTATACTATGGTATGTACCAGACCAGTTATTGCTCATTCCGTTGGAGTTGTCAGCAGATTCCTGGGAAGGAACATTGGACAGCAGTGAAGTGAATTCTCAGGTATCTCAAAGGGACATCTAAGATTTGTTTATCTTTTGGTACCAGCAAAATCGAGCTTGTAGGGTTCACAGATGCAGATATGGCTGGGGATGTTGACTCTAGAAAGTCTACTTCTGGGTACCTGATCACTTTTTCAGGGGGAGCAGTTTCATGACAATCAAGATTACAGAAATCAACATATCTACCACAAAGGTTGAGTATATAGACATCACTGAAGCTAGCAAGGAGTTGCTATGGATGAGGAAGTTCTTACAAAACTGGGCTTAGAGCAAGAGAAGTATATACTCTATTGCGACAGTCAGAGTGCCATTCATCTCAGTAAGAATCCAACTTTCCACTCAAGATTCAAACATATTGAAGTGAGGTATCATTGGATTCGAGATACTATGGAAATGAAGAAGTTACAGCTTGAGAAAATTCATATCGGTGAGAATGGTTCAATTATGATGACAAAACCATTTGCCCATGGAAAAACTATTAGCATGTAGAAGGAAAGCCGGCTTGGTGGAGTCCCTCAGGTAGTCGGGAGGGGGAGATTTGTTGAGAGTTCCCTCCACGTGAGGGAAGTTACAATTTGTGGAAGTGGGGTAGTTTCCACTTTTCCCCAAAACTAATTAAAAGCCCCCCGCCCCAAAAAAAGGAAAGAGTAAAAAAATAAAATCCGCACGTACCATTCTTCCTAAAAACAGAGAGTGACCGAGAGAGAGAGAGAGAGAGAGAGAGAGAGACGTGTTTCAACTTCTTCTCACTAAAGATTGGAGGTTCATTTGCAATCCGATTAAATTGAAATTTCAAAATGTTGTTCCTGACGAAAAGAACTACATTTTGAGTGGAACTGATAGTTCAAATTCCTCTCACTTCTTTAGGCATTACACACTTGTTTAGTGAGATTTTCTCCCTGTTATTGTGTGTATTTACTTTGGGATGATGTTGTTGGTAGTATCCAAGAACTGCGTTCTTGATGTATTGGTAACCTCCAGACTGTATTCTGGAAAAGAAAAACATTGTATCCCATTAATTTTCATAGTGGAAAGCTTTTATTAGACTAAGTCCCGAGATTTTCCTTTCACACTGAAGGATTTCCCCGTCAACAAATCTCTGTGTTCAATTCTTAAATTTCTCGCAATGTGTGTGAATTATTGGAGTCGAGTATTGTTATTATTATTGCCATTTTAATTCTGCACATGACGGGTTGAAATATTGTTTCTGCTGCTTGTTTGTGTTACTGGTTCAACCCCCAACACATTTTGTGTATAATAATCATGTTTCATACAGATGCAAGGATGAATCCAAAATTTGAACAGGAGGAACAGCAAACAAGAAATATCTGGCTATAGATTTTAAATCTTCTTTCATTTGCAAAATACTAAATAGAGTTGACAAAGAACATATTTATCAAGTGTAAATTGTCAGAGTGATGACCTGCAGCATGAACACAGTAATAATTTCTGACAAACTATGCAGGTAATGATCTTCCACATGCCAATTGTAGAACAAATTCTCGCACAAAAATTGAATACAAAACTATCCCAGAATTAACTTCAATTAAACAGACCAAATTGTTAGAAACTTTGGATTTTGGAACAAACGATGCCAGAGAAGACCAGACATTTCTTGAAAGCTCAAATGCAGCTATGCTAGGAACTCTAAGCTAACGAAGAATCCCTCTAGAGAGATCTTTAAACCAATGGTATACTAACTAAAAACCAATAAGCAAAATCACAATAATAAATCAAATAAAAAATGAATAAGTACTGAAAAAATAAAATGAACGAATTACCTGTGATGCAAGCATGCAAAGCAAACTTGCCTTCAATGTGAGGAAAGCTATGGACTCGATTGGGTTGATTTGAGCAATCAAATGCAGCTTTTATAAAGTCGAGGGTGATTTGTTCAATTTGAGTAAATGGGTCGAGCTCGAATCTGTTTCAGAATAGGAGGAAGTTTCTCCGTACGAGGCTCTCAGGGCTTCCATTTTCCCGCTTCTTGAGCGAGATCACCAGTTGCATAATCACCGAACAGTATATAACCATCTGGCTGTATAGGAAAAAAGAAGAGTCCAACCACAAATATTTTCTAGCAATAATGGAATTTCAATCCCGTCGATACGAACAACTTTTAATTCTTTATTACATGCATGGAAGAGAATTATGAGACCCCCCTTTATTTTCTTTTCTTACTTTTCATAGTTCCAGTTTACAAAAAAAATTCCTTACAAGATTCTAACATCCAAAAAGAGCTGTAGTCGTCCCGAAGTATTACAACCAACAACAATCCTTGAACATGAGATTTAAAGAGTACACCCCAGGTAAACAAACTATTAATGGGGCCATTTCCTAAGACTATCTTCAGAACACCCAAAAAAGGCCCACCCATATTCACTACAGCCATTAAATGGTCGGCACACCAATTTTATATTGGATTATTCAGATTCTCCTGTTTACTTGTTACATTAGAAGCTTCAAAGGATTATTTCAGCATGTCAAGGGCAATAAAAGTGACACACCTCAGTATTCTGGAATGAGCTTCTCCAATCATAGGCAGCCATATACATATTTTTCTCCTCATATCCAATGCGAGCCAAGTTGGCTAAATACTACCCAAACAAAATAACCCAGTGCAAAGTAATCAGCAGCTACATACAGGCCTGATTTTCTTGCTGGTGGATCCAATCCAGTTTCATTATCCATTGACGTGCTCAACCCAGCACAAGGGTCTGCATAAATGATTCGCATGAATGAGAGGAAATAATATATCTCAACCTATTTATACAAAATGAGTCAAATTGAAGAAAGAAACCTCCAATCATCTTGGATATGCGTAGCACGGACAAGGGAACATAAATTATAGAGCCATACCAAACTAACTTATCAAATACAAGTTGTAACACACTCTCACTGTAGAGCTACCAAAACAGGTCTTCTAAAAGACAAGTAATTACAAGGTTCAAATGTGAAAATGAAACAGTAAGTAAATATTGGAACAAGCAAAAGAAAGGCCCTGGAAATTTGTTTGAACTATAAAATGGATATTGAGGCTCTAACTCAAGTAGCAATGCCAGAACATTGAAATATTATTTGGTGTTCTACCAATTAATTTATCTATTTTTATAATCACTTTGCAGGTTCTTACCATATGATGGACATGAATAAAATTCAAGCAAGAGCTTAAAATGTGATAAATCCTCGTTAAAAAATAGAAATATCTGGAGTATCAGAAAATAAATTATACTCAAGTACATACATCTAATTAAAATATTTTTATTTTTGTACTCATAATCCAGAAGATAAAATTTGTTTTTTATTCTTTTGTTCACTTCAACTCATCTCTGATAGTCTGCAATTCTAAAAACTGACGACCATTATTAAGGTCCACATTCCAGAGCCATTAACTTTTGGTGGTTCATTTAATTAGTTATGTAAAGAACAAGTGAACCCCATATGCTGTGAATGTTCATCCAGCATTTCATCAATGCTGTAAATATTGTACTCAAGTTTTCATTAGCAGCTAGAAAGCTGTTAATCATCAATATTAATCTTTCCTCAGACCAATTAAACACCTAACCACCATTAACTGGAAGTTATAGCCTTTTTATCTTTAATAACTACTTCAATAATAAAACTTCAAATTCTACCATCATTAAAAAATTCAAGCTTTTAACTTGGAATAAACCCACAACTTCCACACACAGAATAGAAACCGTTTTCTAGAACTCTCACTATCATTAAAAAAGCTAACATTTCAAAAGCCCAATTACACCATTTAAGAAATTCAAGGTCATAAATTTACTCTATTCAGTACTCATATGCACGTGTCAAAAGAAGATTTTAATTTGATACCTTTTGCAAACTTCACCAAAGGTACCACCCCATAGCCGCTTTCTAAAAACCCTTCAGCACGTGCTTTCCCACAACTCAAGCCCTCCACAGTCACTACTCTGGAGCTACTGGCAAAGATTTCAGCCATGGAAATTGATGCAGCACCAACGGGACGGTTAATTGAGAAACAGAACAGATCTACGGGGAGGGAGAATTAGAGAGGAGAAAGGGAGGGGGATTCAACAGAAGAGAAGAAAGAAAACAAGAAGGGAGAGAACGCCATAAGCCACCAAAAATATTCATTCATCACCATCTGAAAATTAGAATGCAAAATAGATTTAAATAGTAAAGCAACGCTAACGAGCTTGAGCCCGAGCCCATACAAGTCCAAATTTAAATAATAGTCCAAGAAAATAAATAAAGCTTAAATAAAATAAGTAAACGTCGTCCGATATCCTCATCAGCTCTCCCGGGGTGGGAGAAAAACTCGACCCTATCGAGTTGATAGATAGTATAGGCTGCAGTCAATCTGATACTCCAAATGCTTCAAGTGAAGCCACGAGGGACGATCTTTCTAACGAACTAAGTAACGAAATTCCATAATTGATAGTACTGAAAATTGTAGCTTATTCCCAAGAATATGATCTGACCAAGGGGGCCGATCTTTCATTCTAACCAAGTACTAATACTGGATTTCAAATAACCAATACTCATGCACCTCATCTTCAACATTTTCACATGATTGCACATAATGAGCATAAAAAGTACGTCGATTTATCCAACAAACAAGGAAGTACTGAATTTTGCCATCATTGGTCAATACAACACGTTCATCTAAAATAACATCAATTTTAATTTTGTTTACTGTGATAGATGGTATTAAAGTAGAAATATCAATATAGTCAAATTGGGGGTCCACAAAGTTAGGTAGAAATGGATCATCAAAGGAAGTAATACAGTATTTGTAAGTAATGAAGTCCTCAATATTTAAAGTAGAGTGGTGGCTAAAATGTGATGAAAGGGCAATCACATGTGCATTTGAACCAACATGCTTTAAAAATTTTAAAGGACCAGCACTACAAGCTTGCAATATGACATAATCCCCAATATTAAATTCAAAATATTGTTTATGCGAATCAACTTGAAGTTTATATAATGCATTACTTGCGTCATGTTGTTTGTTGATCTCAATATGCAAGTCATGAAGATGGTATACAAATACTTCAGCTCACAACAACACACTAGCATGCGGGGACATGGGAATAAGTTCTAACGGTCACCTAGACTTATAACTATGAACAACTTCAAATGGATTTAGACCTAGAGACCGATTCATAGAATTGTTATATGCGATGTGAACAATTGAGGGGATCGAGTCCCAATTCTCAAGATTTTTCTGTACTAGAGACTGTAATAAATTGCCAAGACTTCGGTTAGCAATTTCGATTTGACCATCAGTTTGAGGTTGGTCAGTAGTGGAGAATTTCGATTTAATGCTAACAAGCGACTGGATTCTCCAAGGGTGACTAGTGAAATCATCAAACTCTTTGAGTTGGGTAAGGGTATGACATATAACATGTGATTGAGAGTTGTCGGAAACAAGGGGTATAGTTTCTAAAGTCTCGGGAAGGGTCGGGATTCCACTTAAGGAAGTGTCCTGACTATAATCATCAAAATCTTCAAGTTTAGGGCCATATGCTAGATCTTCTAACGACTATTCTATTGCATTCTTTCGTTCTTCTATGACTAAGGCTCGATTAGAACATTTGAAAGAGATGTGGCCAAAATCCTTACAGCTGATGAATAGCAAGTGAGAAGTCTTTGGAGTTTCACAAATTATACCCTTATTTTCCAAAATTGGAGGAACATTAGACGGGGGAAGTCCTAGAAGGGACTCAACAGGAGGAAGTGGAGCCACATTAGACGGGGGCGGTCCTAGAAGGGACTTAACAGGAGGAAGTGGAGCCAATGAAACCGAAAGATGATTGCCATTACGCTTTCTACACGAAGAAAAAGATCTTGGACTATCACGACTTTTACAATTATTTTTCCAAATAGGAGGAACATTGGACGGAGAAAGTTTTATGATAGACTTATGATGAGGCGACGCTAATGAGATGGGTGAACAACGATGACTACGTTTTTCATATGGAGTACTAATAATCAATTCATAATCTCAAGTTAAAGAGTAAGCGTGATCAAGAGTAGTGACACCTCGAAAAAAAAGCTCGCGCTTAAGATCATCTCTCAGACCTTGGCTAAACCTACTCAAAGTCATGCTTTCATCCTCAATTAAATGACATTTGGTTCGAAATTCCTCAAATTGCGCGATATACTTAGTCACTAATTAATTTCCTTGTTTAAGGGCATCCCATTGAGTAAGAATTTCAAAATTATCTCGTTCTTGCTTACGAATCTGATCCCTATTCCTACGATCGCGTCGAAAATATTTTTGATCACTTTGTCCACGATGATATTGTCTATTATGAGACGCTTCATAATTAGTGTTAGTTAAACGAGGGGTTCGCTTAAAATTGCTCAACTTAGCAACTAGGTTCTTTCTCTCCTCACGAGTAGCAGTTATATCTGATTGGACAGTCGATAGGCTAGTGGCAAGTTGCGCTAATTGTCTAGTGAGTGCATCAAATTGGGATGGATCCATGATCAATGTATTGAAAATAGAGATGACAAGACGACCCCTATGCAACTACATGCAATGTAATACCAGCTAAATGACGTGCTAGGATGAGATCAGTGAACAATACGTGCAAGCAATGGAAAATAACTTGTACCATTTTTTTTAATTTAATTTTAAATATTGGGATTAATTAAATCCAAAACAAGCTAATATTGCTAGTACATGTAAAATGGCAAAACAAGGGTCAACACTAGTCAGATTCTCCAATCAATTTAAGTGGGGAACAATGGAAGTCAATTCGATTTATGGTGTCAATTCGATTAATGATTTTGATCAAGTGAGGTTTAAGGCTAAAATTATCACAATAACAGCAGCACAAAATTTTAATTGATGCAATTTTAAAAATGAAGCAGTAGTATAAACCAATACTAAATAGAAATCAAGGACTCCCTGTTGTTTAGGTTTGATTATTCGTATGCCGCTTGATCTGAATTGTCGACTTATAAGCCCCAACTATGCTTCTGTTCTTCCCTTCGTGTCCAATGGTTTTAACCTCTGTTAACTGTAACTTGTGCTGGCTCTGGTGTGAACGTAAAACTGAGTGTGGTGACTGTGACTTTTAGATTGTTGAGATGGACTTGGAAATATATGAGTGTGGTAACTGTGGTGGAAGTGTATGATCTTGGATTGGTGGTAGTGGCCTATGGCGATGAAGCGGTAGTGCTCTGGATGCCTGGGTACAATAGATAATGAAGTGGTAGCGTGATGGTGATTAGAGGCGATGGCAGCAAGAGAGTGATTGTGAGAGAGGAATCGGGTGAAACTGTGGGATATTTGATGTCAATGGATTGGTTATAATCGGGCTTGGTCGGATATTTGGGACTGGGTCAGATGGGAAGGGGTTTAGATCCTGTTATAGATATGGGCCAGCTGGGGTTAGTGTTTGGAGAGTGGGCCTGGGTCGTAAAGAGTAGGCTGGGTTAGTTGGGCTAAATGGGCTTGAATGCTAGGGTTTAGAATTTGTGGAACAACACCACAAATTATTATTATTATTATTATTATTATTTTGAGCAATAGAAAAAAACGAAAAAAAATTTTTGGGCGTGAACAGTACCCCGTGAATAGTAACTTTTTTTTTTTTCCAACTAAGACTGAGAATTGAAGAGGAAGAAAAAAAATTGCTACTTTTACCAAAAATTCTTTTAGTTCGTGCTGTTCCAACAGATTTTGGGAAGGAAATATGAATAAATTTTGGATTCAAGAAAAGAAATCACCCATGGTTCGGCTCTGATACCAAATTTGATGCAGCACCAACGGGACGGTTAATTGAGAAATAGAACAGATCTACGGGGAGGGAGAATTAGAGAGGAGAAAGGGAGGGGGATTCAACAGAAGAGAAAAAAGAAAACAAGGGAGAGAACGCCATAAGCCACCAAAAATATTCATTCATCACCGTCTAAAAATTAGAATGCAAAATAGGTTTAAATAGTAAAGCAACACTAACAAGCTTGGGCCCGAGCCCATACAAGTCCAAATTTAAATAATAGTCCAAGAAAATAAATAAAGCTTAAATAAAATAAGTAAAAGTCGTCCGATGTCCTCATCAGAAATACCTCAATATTCCCACCGCTTGCTTCAACCTCAGATATGACGAAAATCTGCCAAAGAAAAAAGTGTAAACTATTTTTAGGATTTCTAGGGAAGATCTGAAAATAATTAGAGGACAAAGGAGAAAATCGACTGCTATTCATACATGAGGAGCTTATGAGCCAGATTTTACATGCAGGTTCATTGCAAAAATGAAATTTTTTTACATTTAAATGAGCTTGCTAGAACTTAGTTTTACAGCAAAACTGGGAATGGTTACCAGAATCCTGGAAGAGAACAAATCTGTCCAACATTGCGCACACGAGATGTTATTATATGCAGAAAGTTATGGAAAAAAGGAAATTTCACAGTTCAAATATTTTTTTCATTGGTATTTCTGTCACAGCAGTACCTGCTCGACCAGTGATGTTGGCAGGAATATGTCGTGTACCAGAGATTGCAATGAAATGTACGAGTTCACATCAATATGGTGATTAATGGCTACCTCACCCTGTGAGCATAAATGAACATCACAGATGGATGAAAATGAAAAAATAAACTTGCAGTTTTGTGGACATATGCATGTTTGATACATGGTGCTGGATGGCTCAACTAACAAGACTCACTTTTTTTTCTTTATTGACACTGTTGGTTGTTGTACAATCGAACTTAAGAGACAAATCAATAAAAGAATAATAATTAACTTGGGATTAATGAAGAAGATTTTGCCTTCTGGGATCCCTAATCTCCAATAACCGAGTTCATCAGTGTCTCTATTTCAAAAACCGGCATAAAAAGGGTTATACTCGGCAGGAAAAAGTGCTTTGATATACTGCAAAAGGGGGTTTACACTTTCAGAGGAAGCTTAAAGCCGTGTTTGCGTGCATTCAATAAAAACAAAATACGTCCACAATCAAACGCAATGTGCAGTGCATTAAGCATTTCCCTCTTAACCCAAAGAAAACAATCACATCCCCATTACAGTGGGAACAAGTTAAATACAACTTAAAACATAAAAATTCTATCATATGAGTTGTCCATAAACAGAAATGGGACCTCACTATCCATGTCTAATGTCAATAATAACACTCCAACGAAGAATAAGATGAAGGAAAACCCAAAAAATATAAAATAAATTTGAAGGGAGGGACTGAGAATAAGTTATCACTTTTAACATATCTATGATCAGCAACACATACCCGTTCCGTTTACCTGAAAAGACAGTTACAGGCATATACACATATAAGCAAATGGTTGCGTCTGAATGGGAAACCTATGACAAATGGCTGAGATTTATAGACAAATAAATAGTTCTGATTTTGACAAACATATTGCAGTATTATATCCTGGAATACAAAAAATCAAACTAAGATTACGCAAAGTAAAGAACAATTTCAAATCAAGGAAAAAGGCAAAAACTTAAAGAACATTTTGCAACCTCAGGAACAGTGGTTGGCTTCTTAAGAGAAACCTTCTCTTCCGTACTAAAGGAAATCTGGCTTATAACGTTCGCAGCTTGCTTGAAATCAAAACAATAAAAATCAGAAAAAGACTAATTTGATTTCCATTTATTCAGCACAAGCTATGCTTTATACCTGCACAATGCACACACATGTTCGATTATCAGAAGTTCCAGATTCCAATTCCCCATTTTCACCATCAGATGCAAATATTTAGCTGCCAGTCATCTCTTTTAGTTTATAACCTGAACAAGGTTTCCTGAAAGTAGCAAATACTACAGGTAATCAGAATTTAATTATTGTGGCGAATATTTAATGACTGTATCCAAACGACCTTAGGAATTGACGTAAATCCAAATAACAAACTGACGTGGAGGAAGTTATCTAGTACTGGACCACTTCGTATATAATTTCGACTCAAGAATACTGGATAATTTAACTTTGAGCTTCAAAGGGAAGATTTAACAAGCCAAGAACCTAAAGATGTTTGAAGTGGTAAAATCTATTTTCTATTCTTCTATTCGCCGGTTCCTTTTCAAATGAGCCTATTGAACCTCATTCTAAACAAGTTCAGTTCCCCTAGACTTTCTCAAAAGTTTTTCAAATGAAGGAGGCATGATACTTCAAGGAGAAAAACCTGAACCAAACGGCGATTATCCGACCCCATCAGCATATCCCTACAATACTTAAATCACAACTACTAATCCCCAAGTGCACATCTGCAATCTAGTTGGGTTAAAAATCACTTCAAAGAATAAGGAAACTACTATCCTAATTAATTTATCCACTTTCAATTAACACTTGCTTAAATCTATAATAAAAAGATCTAAGGCCTTTATTGAAAGCTCTGTGAACTACATAATAGTTTATTCATTATAAATTGGATCTAATACATCGACTTGCCCCTGCTCACCTAGAACTTATTCAAACCGGAGAGCAAAACAAGCCATGCTTGAACACATCTTTGGATCTCATAATATTCTCAACTTTAACCTGACCTCAGCTCACTAAGCCTCCCTTTTGGACGAATTTAAATCATAAATATCTAGAAATGAGTAGTAGATAAGTAATAAGTACTTATGGTTTGTTAGAATGAAACAAAGTAGAATGTGTGATGGAAAACAAAGTTTGATCATTTATAATGATTTACAAACCATTTATAAATTAGTCAAAGGCAGCAAAATTAATGGATGGTATATGGTGTAGACTAAGGTGCTTGAGCTTGACCTGTCAAAAGATCATTCAAACTAGGCTCAAGGAACTGTGATCAGTTCAATGATGCATTTCTTCCCTGTTCAACTGCACAAAACTTCCAGAAATTTGTCAGGACCCAAAATCCAGTTTATCCAAATAGCACTTGATTCACAAGAAGAGTCCTCAAATACATTGAAATACTTTATTTTGTACTTGAAATCATCATAGCTGGTTAAAAGAAAAACACTAAACATCTTCAAGCAAACTTAATGACCCGTTGAAATAGAGTTTGAGGGCTTCTTGCTGATCACAGCAAGTTTTACGCATTTACGAATATAAATGTAAAACACAGAGTTAACAAGCGTCTAGGAGGATCCAGTCAAACCTTTTCTTGCAGCAGGAAGAACTGTGTAATGCAGTAAAATGTTATGGGATGAATCATATGCAAAGGCTTTTCAGTATTAAACAAAGATTTGAGTACATTGCATCCATCTTCGAACTCTTTTCTGAAATTTGTGCCAAAAATAAGGCACTGAAAAGAATGAAGCATCCTTTTAATGTTCCATGATTAATAAACAAATGAACTAGAAGAAACAGAACTTGATGATTGCTGCATCTTTATCCTCCAAACTGATAGTTTAATGTTCCAAGCTAAAGCAGCAAGCCAAGACTGCAAAGACATTAAAAGGCAATAAATCCAAGTAGATTTATTTACCAATTAACAAAGTCGTGAAAAGAAGTAGAAGGACCAGGCCATGCTGGATTTCTTTCAGAAAAAAATCCTAGACAACAGTGAAAGTCCATAGAGAACCATGACACTGTAACTTTTGTAAGCTCTAATCAAAACTATCCTAGACCTCAGTCCTTTATATTATCACTACTTACCATCTTATCTAGCTAACATTGTTCCAGAAAAACCACCAGCTAAAGAAAGAGATGGGAAGGGGCCAGGGGGGTTAAAACAGTCTTATAGGAATAAGAGGAAAAAAATAAAGAATAACTGAAAACTCAGAGAGTGGCATTCCACCTCCAACAAGACTTCTAGGTATTATTCTTTTTTCATAGTTTATTAACAAATGGCATGCTGAAGTTATTTAGCAATTGTTGCTATTACTATGAACATATGACTAATTTTTGTTTTCATTAGAGGACGTAAGATTACATGTACATAAAGATTGGTCTGATCAGGGAAAAGGGGTGCAGTTATGAAGACAGCTTCCAGGCCTGCAACTCTCAAGACCAAAAAAGTTCTGCTTAATATTCTCATAGGCATTTTCTATAGTTACAAATTTAATCTAGCCTCATTAAAAAAAAAAAAAAGGGAATCAAGGATGGCACCAATTTTTACTGTCTTTTCCAGATTCAAGAGAAGAGATTGATGTCAGTTGTCAGTATTCAATTTCCAAGTTAGCTCGCAAGGTCGGAAAGAAAGCTATTACTAATACAAAAACAGTACAATCAAGAAAGGAAAAGAGATGCTCAAATCCATTGCATTCTAATGTAATATATATCTTTCTTTGTATGAATCTTGGACAATGACAAACATGATCTACAACAATTGTAGTTCTCTTCATGGAATCCAAAACTCACCGAACCTTCTTGCGAGACTTATGTGGGCGGGAAGGAGGTGAAGGAGAAAATTCTATTGGCAATGGGGGAGTTTTTAAATCTCCAGACAACATCCCCACCACCTCTTTCATGGAAGGTCGGCGAGCAGGTGACTTTTGCAAGCAAAGAAGCGCCACTGTGATGCATAACAGGGCTTGCTCTTTATTTAATGATTGAATATTCTGATCGACTAAATCAAGAAGCTTCCCAGTCCGGGCAAGATTACGTGCCCAGGATAGAAGATTGGCTTGTTGGAACTTTGACATGGGAGACCCTGTCACCTGAAGCGGCCTACGTCCAGCAATGAGGACTAATAACAGAACTCCATAACTATAAACATCACATTTCTCAGATATATCCCCACCACCACCATACTCCGGGGCAATGTAGCACACGGTTCCCCTCATACTTGGTGTGCTACTGATACCCCCACTCTTAGGGATCTCCCCACTGACAGAATCGTAACTATTTCTCTGTGCTTTCCATAGCTCACCATTGAGACCATCCAACCACCAGTCCATACTACCCCTACTGTTCCGGCTCCTGCTCCTGCTCCTTTTCTTCTTTCTATCAGCATACAGTTCATCATCCCCTGGCCAATAATTTTCACAGTAATGATCATCGCTCATTGACCCTTGTGCTTGTTTTTTCTTCTTCTTTTTCTTCTTCTCAAGCTCTTCGCAGTACTCTTCCTTCCACCACTCCCTTGCGGGCCTTCTCTTTTCCTTTATATTCTTCTCATCATCTAATGATACCCACCAATCTAATCGCTGTTTTTTCTTCTTCTTCTTCTCCTTCTTTGAAACAACGCCAGAGCTTGATGAGGTAACAATCCAGTCACTTTTTGGCCTCTCCTTCTTTATCTCATTCCCAATCCATTCCATTACATAATCCTTCACTTTTCCTGACTCCCCTTCACCTCCATTATCTTGTTTCCACCACCAATCTTTACCCGGTACACTCTTCTTTTTCTTCTTCCACCCGCTCTTTTCCCCCCCACTCTCATCACTAAACCTATCGAAATTCCCCTCTGAGATGCTAGTCTTCTCCAATCCCTCAAATGGAGATGCCATCTCTGCCACTGTTCTTGGCGACACCACAGGAGCTGCATCCGCCTCAGGGGACAACTCCACCCCCACCTCGGGTGAGTCCTCAACCCTGACAATTACACTCTCTGGTGACCTTTCCACGTCCCCAAGATTATGAACATTATTGAAGTCCTCGAACCCATTTGTGGTAATCACACTCCCTGTCTCCTCCAAAACAAGTCCATTATCCTCCACCCCGTTCCTCAGATTACCGTCCCTCTTCACCTCACCTTTAATGTTCTCCTCCACTATCGACCTTGCCAACCCAAAATCGCTGATTTTCGCATTAAAATTCCCATCCAACAAAATATTGCTTGGTTTAATATCCCCATGAATAATCGGGGGATCACAGTAATGATGTAAATACTCGAGCCCTTTAGCTATATGCAAAGCAATCAAAAACCTCCTATCCCAATTCTTTAGCTCCTGGCTTTTTCGATGGAAAAGACAGTCTTGTAAGCTACCATTTTCCATAAGCTCATAAACCAAAAGCATTCGACGTTTACCGGGATTTGAGGAAAACCCCATCACGGAAACGATGTATTTACATTCAATCTTCGAGGAAAAAAGCAACTCATTCTGGAACTCGCGCTCTCCCTGTAAAGACCCAGAATCCATGAGCTTCACAGCAACATGCAAAGTAGAGTTCTTGGTGATGGGGTTTGGTTTAAGTGTAGCGCGGTAGACAGACCCGAAACCCCCCTGGCCGAGGCGGAGGGAAAAAGAGAAATTGTTGGTGGCGCGACGGAGGAGAGAGTAAGACAGCCGGTGAGGAGGTTTCTTGGAATCAGTATCAGCAGCAGAAGGGGCTGTCCGCTTCTTTATGATCCTCCCGAAGCAGAGAGTTAGTAAAATAAGAAAAGAAAACGCCGCCGTCAGTCCACCGGCCAGCGGAGGTACAAGATGCCGGGTGATCTGGTGGTGAACCGGCGGCGGTTGACGGGAGGGCATTTTAGTAAATTCGTAGTTTGTCGAAGTGTTAACGGCAACTGGTCAGAACCGACTGTGCAGAGTAATTGAGAGAGAGAGCGACGTGTTCAACTTTTTCTAGTGAAACTCTGATTTTGTTTTATTTCGTATCGATCAGTCTTTTCCTGAGTCAAACAAACGCAATGGATTTTATCATTATGATTTATATTATATTATTAATTATTGAATCTATTAGATTTTAGTTTATATGGCGAATTTGGACCAAAATTGTCAGAATTTTTTTCGGAGAAATCACAAAATTCCATTTAGGATTTATAGAATGTCGTGCCAAAAAGAATTGAATCTAAACAACAATTATTTTGTATCTTGAAAATGAGTTTGATTTTCGTATCATAATAAAGCTGTTCAATATTCTCATAGTTCGACATAAAAAAATTTCTTTTCTAACAAATTGATTCTTCACTTCAAGCCATCAAATCTAAATGAAAATGCATTAAATATGAAATATAATTAAAAGTAATAGAAATAAAATATTTATGGTATTGCTAATACTTACTAACCGTTTTGTCATCTAATGCTCAGTTCAATTATACAAAAAAAATGTCAGATTCAATTATTCTTTTCAATTCTAAGGTTTAGAATCGAAAATCAAACAAAGTATTTGTTCGCAATTCTAATATTCATTATCGAAACAAATTCATAGGCAACTAAATAACCAAACCACCATGTAACTTAAGAAAAAAACTTGAAAAAGATATAAAGGATTAAAAAAAAAAAGATATAGAGGAAAAAGGGTGATTAAGTTTTTTAATCAATGGAATTTACATTTATCGAAAAAA